TGATGGTGATGGTTCCTTTTTGGTATCTGGCGATGGTGATGGTTCCTTTTTGGTATAAGTAGTACTTCTCTTTATAAGATCTCCAAATCTTCGCAGCAACGCTTTCTTCTTCCTTGAGTTTTCAGCTTGAGTCCCATCTAGATGATCATAATCATCTGAATGGAGTGTTTCTCCATCATCTGTGAATGTAAAAGAAGAATTTCTCCGGTGATGCGTAGCTGAGCCTGGTGAATCTACCTCGAATATCGAGCCTTTGAGAGCCTCATCTATTTCAATCTCATCATCATCATCATCAACTTCCTCGTGTGTGTTTGAAATTTTGAGCTCCTTAAGATTGAAACTGAAAACTTTGCCAAATAAGCCTCCATTTTGAGATGCTGCAGCCTCCTTATCCTCCTTTGATGATGTTTTCTCTTTATCTTCCTTTTTTGCATCCCCTGATAATGGTGGTTTCTCTTTACCGGCATCCTCCTTTTTTAACTCCTTCAGTGGTTTTTTCTCCTTGACCTCCTTCTTCACTTCCTTTGAAGATAGTTTCTCCTTAGCCTCCTTTTTCGACTCCTTTTCCTTTGATGGCGATTTCTCTTTCTCCTCCTTCTTCGACGATTCAATGAGCAACCGCTTTAACTCCTTAATGTTTTCATGAGCTGCAATTTCATTTACCCTATAATTTTCGTTTTCGCGGGTAAGGAAATTCAAGGCATCCTCCTTTTCAGTCAGGGTATCTTTCAGCTGAGAATTTTCGGCTTGAGCAATGGCTGTAGCTCCTTTTGCAACATTTGCTTCATTTAAGGCCTGTTTAAGTATGTCTCGCAACTTGCTATTTTCTTCCTTTGAAACCATGGCCCTGTTATCCGTCTCCAGAAGCAACTCATCAGTAGTAGAACCATGAGATGAATGTTGAGTCAACGACTAATTCTCATGTTTCTTGATAGCCATAGCCACACTGGAAGCACTACCCAGATTAAGCATGGTATTACGGCATTGCTCCTCCTTCCTCACAGTGGCAAAGGATGTTGCCGAGTCAGGGAATGGTTATGTACGAAGAATTTCTCCATGAATAGGATCATAAATATCATCAAGACTAGTCAAAAACAGATAGACACGTTCCCCAGTAGTAGAACCATGAGATGAATGTTGAGTCAACGACTAATTCTCATGTTTCTTGATAGCCATAGCCATACTGGAAGCACTACCCAGATTAAGCATGGTACTACGGCATTGCTCCTCCTTCCTCACAGTGGCAAAGGATGTTGCCGAGTCAGGGAATGGTTATGTACGAAGAATTTCTCCGTGAATAGGATCATAAATATCATCAAGACTAGTCAAAAACAGATAGACACGTTCCTCATCCATCTCCTTCTGGCAAACCTTAATCATGTCAGCCTGGGTGGAAGTAATTGGCTTGCAGTGATCAAGCTTCTGCTAGATAGCCTTCAAAATAGAAAAATAGGACGCAACAGGTCTTCCTACCTGCTTAGTCTCCATAGCTTTGCGAGATAAATCATAGATAATTGATTTATCAACACCTTCATAAAATGTCTGAGACACAGCCTCCCAAATATTCTTGGCAGTGGGAAGATGAATAAACAAATTCATCACACTCAGTTCCATGGCACCGATAAGCCAACCTTTCACAATAGCATTCTCCATCACCCACTTGTCATAGGTGACCGCATCAGGAGCATGTTCTGGAATAGTATGAGTAAGATGTCCCATCTTTCCTCATCCCGCAATGAATATAGTAACAACTTGGGACTAGAGAGTATAGTTGGTGTCATTTAACTTGACACCATAAGGAATAGATGTCGGTTCGAAAACAAGAGTCATAACCGGCTTAAGAGCAGGAGTAAGCGAAGGAGCAACAACCTCTTGATCAAAAAGGTTGCCAATCTCAATATCGTCATGAGCCATACATAAAGGTATATTAGGGTAAGATGTAGAATAAAGTGCAACAAATTTCGGCAAGGGCAGGAAACTTGCAACAAAGGTAGGAATAAAGAATAACAATTTTTGGCAAGGGTACGTCAGCAATAACAGTAGCCAGATAGAGCAGCAACGACGGCAGCAGTAGGGCAGCAGTGATGGTGGCAACGGCAAAGAATAGCAGCAGGATCCTAGGATCACTGCTCTGATACCAACTCAAATAGAATTTAGGGTTATGAATAATTCTGTATATTTCTATTCTTCTCACAATGAGGTATTTATAGTGATACAAATACAAGCCTATCTAGGAAATAAATACAATCCCGGTCAAACCGATATTCCTATAATTACAAATAAAGATAATAATTGTATATGATTCCTATAATGATTCACGCCAACAAATGATGTTTCCACTTTCTGTAGTTATCTCCTGTGAGTGGTTCTATTTAGTTGAGGTTCATGGAAAGGGCATTCAAAACTGTCATTCACTGAATATGCATTGGTGATCATTTAAAAACCATGAACTGATAAGATGCAATGCAAACTGAACTGCTTTGGCAGTATCATTTTGCATAACACCATTCTATGAACATGATCACCACAATTATCTTTTTATGCACTCAAAAACAGATTCATGACAGTGGCGGATCTAGCCATTAGCTGCCTACCCGAAAATTTTCAGAAAAATAAAATATGTATGCAGCTCCCTAAACCCAAGGTCCTAGAGGCATATGCATGAGAGAGAGAGAGAAGCCGACATGTAACCACTAATGCTCAGGCTTTATCACTCAATTTTCAAGGCTAATATTCTTTTCTTCACAGTTCCAGTATGACACTCAAACGGTCGAGTTTATAAGTATGTAAATTTTGCCTACTCGACTTTCGAATCCTGGAACCACGAGTGACAGATATAGCATAAAACAAAACTGAATTAAAAAACTTTATAAATCTGTTTTAAGGATTCATGAGGTAGCTCTGATTAAAAACTGATGATATGATATGTAAATTGTAAAAGCGCTCACAATACCACAAGATCACTTAGATGTAAATCTGAATATGACAAGAAAATAAAATATGTATGCAGCTCCCTAAACCCAAGGTCCTAGAGGCATATGCATGAGAGAGAGAGAGAGAGAGAGAGAGAGAGAGAGTGAAGCCGACATGTAACCACTAATGCTCAGGCTTTATCACTCAGTTTTCAAAGCTAATATTCTTTTCTTCACAGTTCCAGTATGACACTCAAACGGTCGAGTTTATAAGTATGTAAATTTTGCCTACTCGACTTTCGAATCCTGGAACCACGAGTGACAGATATAGCATAAAACAAAACTGAATTAAAAAACTTTATAAATCTGTTTTAAGGATTCATGAGGTAGCTCTGATTAAAAACTGATGATATGATATGTAAATTGTAAAAGCGCTCACAATACCACAAGATCACTTAGATGTAAATCTGAATATGACAAGATCTTCCACAGTTCTCGATCTCCAAAGGCAGTCCAATCAATAGGACTAGAGGGGTGAAAGCTGCAGTGTATATTCGAGAGTGTAGGACCTGCAGAAACTACCATTTTATACTGTAAATGGTGTGTTCTTTGCAGATTTCTAATGCTCTTTACAGAAGTGAACGGTTGCACAAGTACTATTAATTTTATCGTCATAGCTTTACAGCTTGTTCATATCGTGTACTATTATAATACTAGTAGGATTGCTATAGCTCTTTGTTTAATCTGTTTTACACTCAATGAGCAACCATCAGTGTTGTTTATGAATTCTACTTCTGCACTTGAGTTGTGTTCCACTGGGATGAGTGTGAAGCCCTCATTTATGCTTACAAGAACCCAGACATACCCAATTTTGTCCACCATGATGGATCCAATAGTAAATTTTTCTTTTCTTTACCCAATGCTGAAGCTGGTTATGAAGGTCCCTTTTATTAACTGTAATTTCTTTAATTTTTCCCAATATCTTAAATATTATTTAAATAGTGAACCATGTACTTCACATAAGCTCAAGTTTTTCTCTACATTGATGGTATTTTTTGGAAGCCTTACATTGTTAGTTCTTAAGCTTATTCGATCACACAAATCTATATATGGTTATCATATGTAAGTCTATTATGATCAACTTAACACGCAAAACTTATTGACGATCACATGTAAAGTGTTAAAAATATTGCATAATTTACAAGTGGGTTAGGCGAGTTTGACCACGGCAATGAATCCATTTCCTAAAATTTAAGTTCGAATCTTTCTCCCCATAGATTAAATTAATTTAAACTCTTATTTGTATAAGTGCACGTAATTGTCAGGACATCATTCATCTCATTTTAAGTTATTGTTAAATAATGCTCTTCTAATTACACAATCATAATATAATAACAGTAAACTGAAATTAACTATTATTTTAAATAAAAAAATCCTCACGTGTTTTTCTCCAATTACTCTTTATTCCAAATTTTCTCTTTTTTCCTCTCTATTTCCCCAGCAATGACGGCGTTACATGCATAGCATACCGCAGTGAACCTATTTCCTAAAATCCACCGCGTCTGCACAAGCTTAAAGTTAGAAGATAGAAATTTTACAAAAAATATAGAGTTTATGATGACTTTTTTTGAGTGCCAACAACAATTCCGGTCTTAAAATTGCATTTATATATAATAAAAATTGATGTTTTGTGTTTGCACATCGGAAAACCTATTTTAACAAATTAAACATCAAAATCGTAATTTTTGTTTATCCAAAGAGTGGCCTATGTTTACCTGTGAAATAAACAATGCCAATTTTAAATAAACCTGCAAAACATGCATTGTTCTGGTAACAAAAACCTGTCAAACTTAAGAAAGTAGATTGTAATATCTTATTCTGACTCGGCCAATTTTGCATTCTACACCTTACAAACTTTTTTTCTTCTTGAGAATAAGATAACTATCAATGGATAGAATCCGGGGGAGTTGCAGATAAGTGTGGTAGGAAGAGAGATATATTTTTGTAGATACAAAATGAACACTTTGTTTTCATAGAAGTATGCTGATGATGGATATGTACATAGAATGATGAAAAGTAGAAAACATATGATGTCTAATAATGGACTGTTCTAAATAAGTGTTGTTTCTTTTTACATCTTTGGATCATATTCTTTGATGCACTCTTACATACAAACTAGATGAAATATGTTACAGAAAGAATCAGATTAAACTACTTGGTATCAAAACTCAAAGAGTATCACCAAAATGCAGCTTGTCTATTCTGGGGAAGCTTCCTTGTTCGTCGGCGACGTTTCGTCTTTGGCATCCTGTGATGGTGATGGTTCCTTTTTGGTATCTGGTGATGGTGATGGTTCCTTTTTGGTATAAGTAGTACTTCTCTTTATAAGATCTCCAAATCTTCGCAGCAACGCTTTCTTCTTCCTTGAGTTTTCAGCTTGAGTCCCATCTAGATGATCATAATCATCTGAATGGAGTGTTTCTCCATCATCTGTGAATGTAAAAGAAGAATTTCTCCGGTGATGCGTAGCTGAGCCTGGTGAATCTACCTCGAATATCGAGCCTTTGAGAGCCTCATCTATTTCAATCTCATCATCATCATCATCAACTTCCTCGTGTGTGTTTGAAATTTTGAGCTCCTTAAGATTGAAACTGAAAACTTTGCCAAATAAGCCTCCATTTTGAGATGCTGCAGCCTCCTTATCCTCCTTTGATGATGTTTTCTCTTTATCTTCCTTTTTTGCATCCCCTGATAATGGTGGTTTCTCTTTACCGGCATCCTCCTTTTTTAACTCCTTCAGTGGTTTTTTCTCCTTGACCTCCTTCTTCACTTCCTTTGAAGATAGTTTCTCCTTAGCCTCCTTTTTCGACTCCTTTTCCTTTGATGGCGATTTCTCTTTCTCCTCCTTCTTCGACGATTCAATGAGCAACCGCTTTAACTCCTTATTTTTCGACTCCTTTTCCTTTGACGGCGATTTCTCTTTCTCCTCCTTCTTCGACGATTCAATGAGCAACCGCTTTAACTCCTTAATGTTTTCATGAGCTGCAATTTCATTTACCCTATAATTTTCGTTTTCGCGGGTAAGGAAATTCAAGGCATCCTCCTTTTCAGTCAGGGTATCTTTCAGCTGAGAATTTTCGGCTTGAGCAATGGCTGTAGCTCCTTTTGCAACATTTGCTTCATTTAAGGCCTGTTTAAGTATGTCTCGCAACTTGCTATTTTCTTCCTTTGATACCATGGCCCTGTTATCCGTCTCCAGAAGCAACTCATGCAATCTAAAGTTCTCTTGCTGTGCAGCATATCTATCTTCTTCAGCTCTTCTAATGCAATCAACAAATCCAGTTTCTTTCCCGCTCCATGCCAAAACTGACTCCTCGTGTTCTATTTTCAACCTGGCAGCAGTATTTTTGTACCTCTCAGCTTCTTTCTTTGCTTCATCCAATAGTGCTTTATAACTTTCCTCACTGCTCTTTAACATCGTATTCAAGCATTCTTCTTGTGATCTTGAGTGCTCTAACTCTGCTTGGGTCACGCAGAGTTTATCTTTCAACTGGTTGGCTTCTGTTGCAACTTCTTTCAGTGCAAAAGCCAAGTCATCCATTGCCTTCTTTCCGTTTTCTTCAGCTTCCGCTGTCAACTTCAGTTCACGTTTAAGCACTCCCATCTCCTCAAGTAATTTCTGTCCCTTGGATGAAGCAAGTTGCTCCTTCTTTTGGGCATCAACCAGACTCTCCTTTGTTAGCTGAATCTCAGACTTTAGACTCTCTAGTTCCTCCTTCTTGGAAAGATTATTTTCGAGGTGATCATGATAATGATACGTACTACGCTCTTGACTATTTTGAGCAGATTCCTCTTCCCCTTTCTCCAATTTGTTGTGAATCGAAGCAATTTCAAACTTTGCCTCTTCAAGCAAAACCTTGGTTTGCTCAAGTTGGTTTGTCTGGGTGATCAATGAATCAAGAATTCTTGCTTCTGATTGCTTTCTCTTCTCTATTTCCATCTCCAACTCCCGAATTCTCTCGTCACTTTCGGACAATAAAGCCTTCGTGTCAGCCTCAGAGGTTTCCACATTCTCTGCCAGTTTGAGCTCCAATTCCCGAATTATTCCTTCCCCTTCGGACAATAAAGCTTTGGTGTGAGCGTCAGAGGTTTCCACATTCTCTGCCAGTTTGTGCTCCAATTCCTGAATTCTTTCTTCACTCTCAGACAATAAAGTCTTTGTGTGAGCCTCTGCCTCAGAGGACTTCATAACCTCTGCCAGTTTGAGCTCCAATTCCCGATTTCTTTCTTCACTCTCAGACAATAAAGTCTTTGTGTGAGCCTCTGCCTCAGAGGACTTCATAACCTCTGCCAGTTTGAACTCCAATTCCTGAATTCTTAATTCCCTTTCATACAATAAAGCCTTCATGCGAGCTTCTGAGGTTTCCACCTTCTCTGCCAGTTTGAGCTCCAATTCCTGAATTCTTCCATCCCTTTCAGACAATAAAGCCTTGGTGTGAGGCTCGGAGGTTTCCACCTTCTCTGCCAGTTTGAGCTCCAAATCCCGAACTTTTTTTTCGCTTGCAAACAACAAAGCCTTTGTGTGAGCCTCTGCCTCAGAGGACTTCAAATTCTCTGCCAGTTTGACGTCCAATTCCCGAATTCTTTTTTTACTTTCAGCTAACAAAGCCTTTGTCTGAGCCTCGGAGGTTTTCGCTTTATCTGCTTTGAGCTCCAATTCACGAATTCGTTCTGCGCCTTGAGACAGCGAAGTCTGTGTGGGAGCCTCGGAGGTTTTCGCATTCTTTGCCAGTCTGAGTTCCACATCTTTGGCCTTTCCAAGTTCAAGTTTCAAAGACTCAATATTCTCCTCTTTACTCTTCCAATCTTGCCTTGCATCAGACAATAAATCCTTCACCGAATTCAATTCCGAATGCACCCCAGCTCCCTTCTGAATAAATCCTTCACCGAATTCAATTCCGAATGCACCCCAGCTCCCTTCTGAGTTGACAATTCTTCACTAAGCCTCATGTTGGCCGCATCTGCCACCTTTTTCATCTCTCTCTGTTCATCAACTTCTCGATCTCTTTGTACCTCCATTGTCTGCAATTGCTCCTTCAGCTCCTCTTCAGGTTGCTCCATTTTTTGTTGCTGCATCCCCGAAGCTCCAGCGATCTGTTTCTACCATGAGCACACAAAACACCCATCACCAAACAAATTAAAATCCAAAGCAAAAAAACCATCAAAGAAAATTATAAACAATTGGCATGGTCAATCCAATCCCTTAGAATCCTATAAAACAGTTATGAAGATGGATATGATGACTTTGACAAAAGTTCCATATGAATAAAAACCCTGTTCTCAATCAAAGCAAAAACTATGAAACGGGATCAATACCACGTGCAAATTTGTAGCTTAGAGGGTTTTCTTGAGGACTTTGATGCAGAGCAGAGATGGTCTTGACTTTCATATGACCAAAGAAAGCTTCTTTGGTTGAATTTCAAAAGATCCAAATCAGAAAACCAGGAATATTTCACAGATAGAACGTCAAAGGCATGAATTAACGAATTAAGGAAGTTGAGAAAAGCAATGGAACAGTAGAGAAAGAAAGAAAAAAAGACAGAACCCAACAACGTTAAAAGCCTAACGAATGAGATTAACACAAAAGAAAGAGATAATTAATACAGAAAAAAGCATTGGAATTTTCAAGGAAAAAGAAAAGTACCTTAGCCTCGGTCTGGAGGTGCCATGTTTGATTATGGGGAAGAACGTTGTTGGGACATGGGATTTTCTATTTGGGGAAAGTCACTAAAATGATTTTGGTGGAAAAGTCCGAGGTTGGCGGGTTTTCCACTGAAGGGAACCTATTTGGCGGGTGTTGGAAGGAAGCAATCTAATAAGTGGATTGATTGAATTTGACAAAATTGACATTCCCAAACATAATATTCCAAGTTTCCAACGGTCCAACCTATGACTGCCTCTGCCTCTGCCTGCCGTAGTCTTTGGAGACTGTTGTGTTCAAAATTGCCAATCAGTAACTCGGGCTTACACTGTCTTCGGGCCTGGAAAAGAATTTTCATTATTCACCTATCTTTGCAAGCTCCAAATTTAGTTAGGACTGGCCTGCATTTTTTTCATTTTTTTCATTTTTTTCATTTTAACTTTTCGACTTTTTTTATTCATCAATATCAGTACACCTGGTGGATGCCAAAGCCTCAGGACATTGAGCTTGTAGGACTTTCATTACAGAAGTTTAACATACATTTTACATGAAATGGTGGTGTTAGGGGGGCTGCTGTGGCTCCGCCCCTGGATAAAAACCAATGCATCCCACACTAAAGGTCAAAAGAACAGCTCCACGGAACACCGATCTCTACAAAATCATCCACTGCCATGTGTAGACTGATCCTTTTGAGCATCAAATGAATCTTATCAATATCTGGATGAGATACATCCCCTCCCAGGAAAATGTGCACCTTATTTCCAATCTCTGTCCAGCTGTGCGCGTGTTGCTTCTTAACTCCATGCTCTTTCATCAGAGTTCTCAATCTTGCAACATCTCTCCACTTTCCGGCAGCTGCGTATATATTGGACAACGAAACATAAGGCCCAGAACTATGAGGATTTAGATCTAATATTTTCTTTGCAGCTAGTTCCCCTATTTGCACGTTTACATAAACACTGCAAGATGCAAGTAGAGAACCCCATATCCGACAGTCTGCATCAAATGGCATCTCTTCAATTATCTTGCAAGCCTTCTCTAACTGACCTGCTCGACTCAAAATATCAACCAAGCAAGCATAATGGTCCGATCTAGGGGCAATACCATAATTACTAACCATTGCCTCAAACAAATCAATGCTTTCATTCACCTTCCCCGCATGAGCACAAGCAGATAACAGACTAAGAAATGTTATACCATCTGGCTGAAAGCCAAGCAACCCCATCCGGTTGTAAAAAGCAAGAGCTCTCTCGTAGAGACTATGCTGTGTAAATGCAGCAACAATGGTGTTCCATGAGACAAGGTCTGGACTCTCAATTTGTTTGAACGCTAACTCAGAATCAAGGATTGCACCACATTTGCTGTACATGGTAATCAAAGCATTACATATGGATAAATTTGATTCATATCCATGTTTGATAATGAGTACATGAGCTTGTCTCCCTTCTTTAAGTAATGCAAGAGTAGAACAGGCAGTAAGAACCGAAACAAGGGTCCATTTATCTGGACGCAAACCAATCTTGAGCTTCTGTGAATGTAACTTCAATGCTTCCTCTCCGCTGCCATTTTGTGTGTAGCCTGTAAACGGAAACAGGCATGTGAAGGGACAAGGGAAAGCTATCTCATGCTCAGAATAATGTCAAGCACTATAGTACCATCAACAAGATTTTGTTTGATTTACTAAGTTCTGCAAGCACAAACAAGTTTAGGTTTTGGAATTTTGAAGTGTAACCTTGTCAAGTTGTCATTTATGTCATGAGCACAAGTTCAGTTATCCACTAAGCAGTTAAAGGTTTCTTTTATGGATGAGTGAATTGCACTTGGCATACCTGTTATCATTGCATTCCAGGAGACATGATCCTTACACTGAATTTGATCAAATAAAGTTCTTGCCTCCTCCATCTTCCCCTCCTTAGAGTACCCTGTGACCATAGCGGTCATTGCAACTACATTTTTCTCTGGCATCTGCTCGTACAATTCCCTTGCTTCATCAAACTTCTCATTCTCCACATACCCACTGATCAGCACGGTCCAAGAAACGGCATTCTTACAGGGCATGCAATCAAAAAGTGCTCTTGCCCGCTCTAGGTCTCCTTTCTTTGCATACCCATCAATCATTGCCGTATAAGAAATAACATTCCTCCTCGGCATCTCTTCAAAAAGCCTACTAGCTTCCTCCAGCCGATCATATTTCACATGACCTGATATCATAGCATTCCAAGAAGCAATATTTCTCTCAGGCATCGACCGAAAGTACCTGAAAGCCTCATCAACCATCTCATTCTCGAAACACCCCGCTATCATGGAATTCCAGGACACCACATTCCTAGCAGGCATCAATCCGAACAGTCTCTTTGATTCTCCAAAATCCCCATTTTGCCGGTACCCAGTAACGATAGCATTCCATGTAACAACGTCTTTCATGGGCATTTCATCAAACAATTGGCGGGCGGCTTCAATCTTACCTGCTCTTGATAAGGCACCAATCTTGACGTTGCAAACATATACATCTTGGGTTGAGGAAAGCTTAAACTGTGTAGAAAGCAAGCAGCGGAAAATATAACAAGCACCTGAAATGAGATTGGCAGGGACCGGGGTTTGAAGAACAAGTCGCATTATTAACCCAAAAATATATCAACATCATTACTTGTTGAAACCTCGTTACAGTGCAAGCAAAGCCAGCTACCGTGTAGGCTCTCTACTCTCGATTTATGCTTATTTTCTCTTTCTGGGAGTTACCACGCCTAAGCAAACCCCAACGTATTCTTGTCTAGTGCTGCGACGCGAGTAACTAAAAAGCCTCCACTTGTCCAAACCATCACAAAAGACGATGGCAGACAAACCATCACTTGTCTACTCTAGCGCTGCGGAGCGGGGCATCTGCCTTTGGGTCTCGTATAATGAGTTTTCACAAATAATATGTTGCCTTTGAACTATACTCAATATAAGCCTGTATTTGTAGAAGAAAACAAACAAATCTCTTATAACCCTAAAACCACCTTCAGAGAACAAATGCAACAGAGAACACAACACACAGAGCGAGACATTAACATCAAGACGCATTTGTTGTTTTAACGGCTATTGACAAAGTTGAGCTCGGACATCAGAAAATATATCAAATTCTTGAACAGCATCTTAACAATTTTAACGTATCATCAAATCATCCAGATCCACATAACAAATACAAACTTAAGACTAAATTAGATATGTTGCCTTTGAACTATACTCAATATAAGCCTGTATTTGTAGAAGAAAACAAACAAATCTCTTATAACCCTAAAACCACCATCAGAGAACACAACGCACACAGCGAGACATTAACATCAAGACGCTTTTGTTGTTTTAACGGCTATTGACAAAGTTGAGCTCGGACATCAGAAAATATATCAAATTCATGAACAGCATCTTAACAATTTTAACGTATCATCAAATCATCCAGATCCACATAACAAATACAAACTTAAGACTAAATTAGATGAAATATTGTTCATACCACATTAGTGAGGCTGCAGACAACCAAAATAACAAAAACACAATTAAGTGTGGACCAACAAATTGAAGGTTCCTCAATCTAAGAAACAAAACACCCAAAAGCACATCAATTCATAAGAGTGTTTGCCTATAAGGATATTCACTACAAACTTGTACCAAACCTACCGCCTATCTATCTGATCTGACTTAATAATAACAGTACCAAACAAAACACCTCCTTTCTTTCCCAATTAAGCATTTTACATATCAACCCCATCCATCTGCAGCCACCCCACACAACCAACCCCCCATCTTCATTGCAGAGGCAGGTCACTTAAGCACGTTCACCCCTGATCCTCCTAGCCAGCTGGATATCCTTCGGCATGATGGTAACACGCTTGGCATGGATGGCACAAAGGTTGGTGTCCTCAAACAGACCCACAAGGTAAGCCTCAGCTGCCTCCTGCAGTGCGAGCACCGCATGGCTCTGGAAACGCAGATCAGTCTGCAAAAACACAAGAACCCAAAACACATTGATCAACACAACATTCAAAAACAGAACACCAACAACAATTGACAAAATTTTGGAAACAATAAATATACCTTGAAGTCCTGGGCAATTTCACGAACAAGCCTCTGGAATGGCAACTTCCTGATCAGGAGCTCAGTACTCTTCTGGTACTTACGAATTTCACTGCACAAACATTCCAAATAAAACAGAATTTAGACCACAATTATGGCCATAAAGACCAAAACTTGGAAAACTGTAAAAGAGATCAATCACTCACCGAAGAGCAACAGTACCAGGACGGTATCTGTGGGGCTTCTTGACTCCTCCAGTGGTTGGTGCAGACTTACGGGCAGCCTATAACACAGGAAAAAAAATATATTTAGCAACTGCAAACCACCCACGACACAATTTCAAGAAAAGAAGTTAGACGACTGCAAAGTTTACAAGCACCAACCTTGGTAGCGAGCTGCTTCCTTGGAGCCTTTCCTCCAGTTGACTTACGAGCAGTTTGCTTGGTACGGGCCATCTGAACACACAACAGAAAAGAAAAATTAACATTTGTTCTAGCACAATTAAACCTTTTTGTTGGCAAAAATATAAGACAACAGGAAACAGAAGTATTTCTTTTAGGAAATCATTTCAGAAACGTTAACAAAGATGGATATTGCCCAAATGATAGAAAAGTGAATATATAGAATTTACATAAACCCAGTTCATAACATTCAGGTCTTTTGATAAACCCTAATTAAAAACTAAATTAAAATTCAGGAGCCCCCTAAATATTGACATCGAAATGGAATAACGACGCAAGATAATAAATCCTTGCATGAAATACCATAAACACGGGAAAATCCCAAATCTTTCCAATGAAGCACTCTAAAACAACGTAAAACCCTAAATCTTTACATTGAAATACCATGAAAAAAGGGAAAAATCCTTAAATCCTAACAGTGAAATGGAATAAGCAACGGAAAACCCTAGCCAAAATCATTTGCCATTACACCACCAAAAACCCTAAATCAAGATCACAGACATAGGCAAGCTGAATAGGAACGAAAAGCAAACCCTAGTTTACCTTCAGAAAAAAATAAATAAAATTTTTGAAAAATTAAACGAAAGTCATACCTCTGTGTTCTTCGCGCTCTGTCTCTGTTTTCTCTTTTCTCCTCTCTCTCTCTCTCTCTCTCTAAAGATTTGAACGTATGAGAGGCTAAGGAATATATATAGCGTGTGACTCAAAACGGTCTAGGGGATCGGACGGATGAGATCCACTATCCGTGTGTTTTCTCTTTGGGGTATCTAACGGTGATGGAGGGGCTTAGTTGTGTTTTCTCAATTGAAGTGCACGGTCGCGATGTGTTGTTGGGGTGGTGACGCGGATCGCTACGGACTAACACAGGCTTCCTATTGGGCGAGAAAAACAACAACTTGTTTTCAAATGAGAAACGGACTAAACGGAGGTTGTGTAATTGGGATGGTAAAACGTTGTTACGGGAGAAATTTTTCATTGTTTTTTAATCGTAATTCTATGTGGACTTGACTCTTGAGCGTGCAAACAATTTTATTTTTATTTTTTTCTAATCAGATCTGGATTCTTATCATGCCATTAGAATTTTGGGTGAACTTTTTTTATTTAATAGATTCTACACATTGAGTTTGAGAATTTACATGTAAAATCATGTGCTTGACATTTTCTATATGACAATTGATGAAAAGAATTTATGAATCATTTTATATATCGTTATTTTTCACACATACACTACCAAGGTGCTAAAGGGGTTTAAAGCTAAAATCGTTGATCAACAAGTAAAGTTCATTTTCCACTAGACTAGACCACGTTGGCAACTTGGCATAATGAGAGTCTTTTTTGGAACACAACAATGTTGCAAGTTGCAACCCTTGTCTCTTGCCTTCAACCCAAAGCAAGGCCCAAAAATCATCTTGGGAGAGACCTAGTAGTCAAATCCCCATATCATTGAAGGGCAAACTCGGAAGCAACAATGACTAATTGTTGGATTGGAAAGTTGACAAAACGGTGAGCAAAATCAATTTCTTCCGAAAAAGCACCCACGAGTGTAGTGGTTTATAATAACTGCACTCAACAAATAAGCTCTTTGGTTGTAGTGGTTTATAATAACTGCACTCAACAAATAAGCTCTTTGGTTCGAGTCGTAACAACCGTGCCATGTGTGTAAATTGAGTGTATTATCGCCCCTCTCAATAACGAAGATGAAAAATCAATTTGTTCTATTGAGTCAAAGGTGGCTATAGCAGTGGGACTAATTCAACCAAAATAGCTGTTAAAGTTGTGTCTAATACGCTACTTTAGGAAATTTATATAGTTGTTAAAGTTATTTACAAGCCAAAAAAGTCTTCTTGCACGTTAATGTTGGTTAGTGTCAGTTAGCCCATGTTATGTTAGGGCTGCTCTCGGAGTTCACATTTACAACCAAACTGAAATTTGAAAGAAGCATAAAGAACGTAAAGAACAAAGAAAGCCTTTTTATACCAAGTAACCCAGCAAAAATGAGCAATAGTAAAAACTAAAACAATACAAACCAAAAACTCAAATCGAATTCTAGAGTCAGTACAAGAGGCCTTCAATAAACTCCTCGGTACCTGTTTACATCTACCTAAGCTTCACCAAGAACGCAATGGTGCCGCCAAGAAAGGTTAGAAAAAAATAATAATAATAAAATAAAAAATTTAGATCTCATTTCACTAGCTGATTTTTTTTTACTTTGTATTGACAATTATATGTAATTTGAAAAAGCTCCAAAGTTTCACCTGGCAAAGTTCATACTGTACTATAATGATCATACAACGAAACCACCATACATCATCGAGAAACAACAGGGCTGCATGACCTCGCTCAAACATTTTCTCTATATTTTGAGCGTATCAACCAGTATCTTCTCAAACCCAATAAGCCCAGTTGATTGATCTGTGCTGTGGTCAAACCGGATTTACGACACGTTAACCCCAGAAGATGCATCGCTATACTTACAATCTAGCTTTGATATCTAATCAAGTAATCATGTGTCAACAAAGTGAAAAAAGTCAGAGACGCTGAGGTGCTTTGCAAGACGGTGGACAGCAGACTGCACAACTTCAGAATCTGGAGAAACAGAAATGGGAAGAAGAGGTAGGCAAATCGGCAAATACTGCTCGCTATCTTCTGGAGGACAGAAGAATGAGAGCACAGCTCTGCAGAATATAAATCTGGAAGTAGGAGCATCATGTAAGCATTTCCACTATTTTAATTATACACCAGAAAATAAACAGAATCAGAACTCCAAGACAAATGCTATTATCTCGTTTCTCATTATTAAAGAAATTGCACAGCCCACTTCAAGTCACAGAATCGAGTAAGACAGCGCTAAGCATAACATATTATGAATCCGTTGCTTTGTAGTCCTTTGCAAGGTGGAAAGAGGAGTACCTCAGAATAAGTCGCCGCAGAAATGGATCAGATATAACTTGTGCCCATACCAGATCCAGGCTTGTTGATGTACAAAGAATAACTTCCCACTCAGAGAAGGCAGCAGAGAGGATGCTTTCAGCATCGTTATAAACCTCCTAAAAGCAGAACAAATTAATTGGAACACCTAAAATACAATGGATTGTCAGGAAGTACTACAGGTCTTGCAACTAACTTACTGCTTCAGTATCAGAAGGGGAGAAGCCAACTAATTGGCAGAATGCTGACAGAGGAGTAGTCAAGAAAAAGGTAAACTGACTTCCATTTTGCATAAAATCAGCATCAGCTGGTTTCTTGAACGCTGGTCTCAAAGGTGAAAGAAACAGAGCAGCTGTCTCTCCTCTTTCCGCACCATGTAAAGCCTGAAATCATTCACAATCAGAATGTAAGTAATTTCACTGACAAACCAGAATCAGACGCAGATTGACTCAATATCGAACTAGAGCAATGAACAAACACCATGAGTTGGAGAAAGAGTCTCCAATTCCATCAAAATGGCCAAGCACCGTGAAAAAAAGTTGCATCTGGAGAAGTGCAACCTTTAGAAAGATTCAGAAGACACTGGCGCTCTTTTGAGTTTAGATACAAAAGACATATTTGAGACTGAAGGGCTCCATTTTTGCTAGTGATAAATGTGCTTCCAATAACATTCAGCGGGTAGACTATTTGATGCAGGAGCATCTACGAAGCTCTCTAAGATTACTTTGGCCCGTGACTCAATTGGGCTAGGGTTCTATTTACTTTAAATTATTAGTTACTTCATTAGTTTTCCTATTCTTACTAGGATTTGGTTTAATTTCCTATAACATTCAGCGGGTAGACTATTTGATGCAGGAGCATCTACGAAGCTCTCTAAGATTACTTTGGCCCGTGACTCAATTGGGCTAGGGTTCTATTTACTTTAAATTATTAGTTACTTCATTAGTTTTCCTATTCTTACTAGGATTTGGTTTAATTTCCTGTTTAGGTTTTTAATTTCCTATGTCTATTAGGTTTTCTGTATTCTAGTATAAATAGGCTAGTTAGAGACTCTTGTATGGAATTTTTGTTGATGAATATAATTTCAGACGTTAGTCTATAGAGTTTCTGTTGGGATTTTGCCCTAGAACTCAATTATCTTCATTCCAACTTCAATTCGCTTTATCCTTCTATTCTCTGTATTTTGGGTATGTTTGGGTCGCTGGACAGCAGCTTATAGCCGCTGCCCTGCATCACTATTACTGGTTCCAGAAAGTGAGTAAGTTCCTCTCAACATGTCAAAACTTACTCTGGGATCAAACATATAGTGTAGACATGGCACTGACCATATAGTGAAATTCAGACGATAACCATAAATGTCATTTATTCTTAAAGTTCGAAAAATCTGATTTAGAAACAACACTCCACTGTAAACAAAACACGGAACCTTGAATGCACAAGTTTTGACAAACCTGCCTTGAATGCATGGCTGTTGTCACTATCTATTATCAAGAAAAGAGGTCTCCGAGTGAAAGGAATTATGTCGCCAGGGTAGAGGTTACTCAAACCTGAAAATCCAAAAGAAGCAAATGAAAGGGTGGAACAATAACACAGGGAAGACAAGATACATAATAAATGAGTTAACAGGTTACTGTGCACAAAAATGATCACAATAAAACAAGACAGCACAACGATTCAATACAGGAACCTACCGCCATTTCCTCTAGGGCCAAACCACAAATATTGGTCGTAATAGCCACTTGACTCTCCCTTGTTGTTTATACAAGATTCAGGCATAGAATTATTCTGAGCTGGGAGAGGAACTTTATTTTTTGAGGATTTATGTGATCCTCCAGAGTTGTACACCTGAGTAACATTATTACGACCAGCCTTCCCTGCACAATTGATCATCAAGTTCAATAATCTGGGATGACAAAGACATGATAAATGATGAGTTAATTTTTATCCTAAGAAACCAAAGTTAACCTGAGGCTGACAGATACACTAGCATAATACTGTCGAGAGGGAGCTCCTCACATATTGTAGCCATCACCTGCCAATGCATCGTTTAAGCAATCAGCCTTACCAATAATACTTACATAATTAAGAAACAGAAAGAATACATTAAAATACATGTATATTATAGATCGAAAATTTTAATACTGGCAAACAAGCAACTGTTATTTGATGGACCCACTCCATGTAGTTGCAATAAAGACATATTCACACCATTATTTCTATTGCAGGTACATGAAAGAACAGTGAAACTGGCAATGCCCTTTGTCAAACAAAGTTATAATGAACCCCACATAATAAAGCTGAGCAAACAAATAAGTTACATACAAATATGCCAGGACACTTTGACAGAATCATGCAAAAAAAAATGCGTCTTCAAATTTATAGACCATTTCACTGATAGAAGGACAGACCAACAGACCCAAAGGGCTGCATCGCTACATATGATGTGTGAAGAAAAAAAAAAGGATTGGAAACATCTGGAATCCAGCCCCAACATGGACAGGCAAAATTCAAAAAGAAAAAATGTGAAAAACTGGTGGAGTTCATTCTGTAATTTTTTTTTAATTTCTTTTTGCTTTTTCTTTTTCTGCTAAAAAGTACTTTTTGTCAAACAAAAACCATCATCTTGCCAAGCAAATGAAACATCAGGGGTTGGAGCATCCATTGGCATTTCAACTAACAGAATAGGGACTAGTAGGACATGAAGGGTCGTGCTTAACTCTTTCTTCTTTCACCACAGAATTTAATGTTAACAGAGCAAAGGTTAAAACTGTATGTAATTAATTTTTCAAGCTCAAAGATTTTTAGTGTTTCATTCTTTTTAATTCTTTGAACTTTCTTCAGGAAATTAGAAGTTAGGAATTTGATCAAATTTCATGAATATTCCTTAAATCATACCTTAGCTTTTGTAATTTATTCAATGTATCAAATAAAAACAAAATTACATTTTTTTGTCTTGTGTCCTATTTTTTCTAGATTCCATTGTCAGTTTGGTATCATTTTGAATGTTGCATGTCTAGGTTCATGCATCACAGAACATGCGTTTCAAATTCCAAAAGTTCCAGAGACAGATCCCTGAGATAACAAATATGATAAAGATGGGATTAACACTAACCGCAATCAAATGTGTCACAGATGGACGGTAAATAACAGCTTTCCTTGGATTTGGCGGTAAAGTTGGATCAGTCATGTCTGCAGCCAAGTTCATATCGATTACTCCAGATGCGGCAGAAGCCCCGGAGTGATCAATAAAAGTGCCATTCTCTTTGGATTCCACTGCACGCTTTTGGTAGAAAGACCCGCTTGGCTCCCATTCCAAACATTGCAGCATTCGGTAAGTGTCCAATGTAAGTTCAGCAAATTTGACCTACATGACACAGTACACAAACATTCACAAAAACTTTCCTAAGTGAGGGCTGTATCTATTATCAATTGTGAAATAAATTAAAATAAATAGCCAAAGATGTGAACAAAAAAAATATTGACCTCATTACGGTGATAGCTTGTCAGCAATGCATCTTGAAATTTTAAAACCCTCTTTGCATGGAAACGAGCCACATATGGAAGAGATGATGGATGTGAATCAAACAAGGTGGAATATCGCAATGGCCTAACATTCATAAAGGCCGTATCAACTTTCATAAATCGAACAATTTCTTGCACCACTAGCCTCCATTCTTTAAAATTAGTTTCCTGAGAAGAGATAGCTCAAATGTCCAAATCATGCAGACCCATCGAAATAAGTACACAAGAACTCATTTGAGGAAAACTATTTCTAATTAACTAAATGAACTGAGACATGAACGAAAGTGTACATGCACATTAACTATTTGAACTGAGACATAAATGAATGCACGCATATTTCATCAGTAAAAAATTGATTAACCTTGACATTTTACTTGCTTCATTTATGAAATATTTTAAAGCATCCAAGCAGAAAATAAATGGCATACGGTGACTTAGAACTTCGCATTGCTTCACTCAACAACTTAGTAATTCAACAGACTATTGAACCTCACAAACTCACCCACCCCAAAAATTAACAGTCCCTGTGTCTCTCTATAAATTCCACCGACTCCACCTATGTGTTGCAGTCACTGTACCAACTGCCTAGCTCAACTACAAGCACCATTCCTACAGATAAAATGCATTATCTAAGCCATGTATATCTAGGTATCACATATCACTATTTTGAGGCAAGTGCTTCCGGACAAGAATCAAATTACACATCCATTGACTTCATTCTTGGATTGTCCTTGATTAGCTTCACTTCCACCCTTCTCCCCGATTAGAGTAAAGACAGGTTTATCATCCTTAGTATGCATGAGATGCTAAATTTAGTCTCAACTTCCTTATAAACTTAAAGGTTGATATTTAATTTGCAAGTCATCATACTTGATCTAAGCTTCAATTATATACCATCAGAATTCACATATGTTAATGATTCAAACGGTAGTTAATATATGGATAAAATTGAAGAAAACTTGAAACCATTTATTTATCAGAGTTCTTATTTCTCTGGATCTGCCATCTCAACTGTGAATGCGCCTTTGACTAATTTATTTAAAATCACAAAAGCTACCAGCACATTACTATCACAAACAAAGAGACTTTCTAGTGGAGACTGAGCCATCAATAAGTTTCCCTTTATCTCTCCCTCAACATGATGTGGGTTACAGACCCACCTAAGTCGGTGAGTTGCCTCCGCCCCCGCAGAAACTCAGCTGGAGGTACCATTTCATTAAGGAATTCACATCTTCTCTTTAGTCAGTTTTCATAACAGCATGGCAACACTTAACACTCGGATCTGATTTAGATGACAGGTCGTTTTCACTTAATATTATGACAATATTAAAAAAATAAAAAATAAAAACCTATTTTTTCACCAAAAAATTATAATAATAATTGAAATCTTAACTTGAAATCGAAGACCCCAGATTGCACATATGAAAACGGGAAATAAAATTCAGAAGTCCAATAATAAATCACTCAATTGATCCAATCACAGCAAAAGGCATAAATAAATAAATAATTGTCAATTAATTTGAGAAAGCTTTTATCTTGTAAGTAGTACTTGTTGCTCTGTCTCTCCGAGTATAGAAGTAACTAAAAAATACCCGAAAATGCTAAGGAACAAGTCCACATACTCTTGTAACTTGTATGATTGATTGGTTCTCAGCAACCAAACAAATCCTAGTGCCGCTAAAAAAGAAGGATGTGAATTACCCGATAATTGGCTTTGCAGTCATCAACAAGAGCCTTGAACCGCTCAGCGAGAAGTTGAACCATCTCGGTCCGGTTCAAAATCAACGAAACGAGCAAAAACCGGGCGTAGAACCTCAACTCCTTGAACCTAACGCCGAGATCCTTCTTCCCGAAGGCTTTGGAACTGGAATTGGACCCCTCAAAGTAGCTCCTGCTAAGAATGGCCTCGTAGAAGACGTAGGCCTCGACGAGGAACCTGGCCTCGCTGGTCCTCATGTACTGGCCGAAGTAGAGCTGGCCGATCCGGCTCGCGATCTCGCCGATTTCCCAGCGGTTCAGACCGGCCTCGATGAGCTTGGACCGTTTCTCCTGCTGGTACTTCCAGAGGCGCATGTAGGCCTTGAAGACCTTGTGGAAGTAGTGCTGGTTGTGGACGCGTCCGTACGCCGGCACGTCGCGAACCCTAGCGAACTTCCGGTCCGCGCCCTCCA